CAGTCTTCCTGGGTTCCATGTGGAAACTAACCAAATCTGTAGATCAGTATCTCAAGTTAGTCAGATAACCATATACATCATGTAACTTGGGCCACTTAAGATTTCAGATTCTGGGGCTGGAGAGAGAGCTCAGCGGTTAAGAACACTGGTTGTTCTTCCAGAAGACTGGTTCAAGTCCCAGCACTCACATGGCAGCTAACAACCGTCTGTAACTCCAGTCCCAGGGGATCCGACAGCCTCTTCTGACCTCCACGGGCATTGCACGACACAGTCGCACTTACGTACATGCAGGCAATACACGCATACACATAAAATAAAAAGATTTCAGATTCTAGAGTCCCATCTGCTGAATCAGATTCCAAAATGGAACATGGGAATTTGACATGGTGTTGGGATGGCACCGAGTCTTGTGCCTGCTAGACTAAAGTTCTCTACCACTCAGCTACAGGCCTGCCCATCCCCCACCCTCAGTTTGAAGGGGTCTGGTTTTCTGAGATGGAGTGTGGTAGTGTAGTCCAGGCTAGCCTCAAACTTGTAGTGCTCTTTGTTTCAGCCTCCCAAGTGCTAGAATTACAGGGCTGGAATTCGCTCTGGACTCTACATTTTCAGCAAACAGCCCAGGTAATTCTTATATACTTGCTCAGGTCTATAATGCTAGATCTACTTAGTCTGTAACTCTATAAACATACTAAGAACCACCTTTATTTCAGATATAAAAAGATAAAATGAGGAGTTGGGGATTTAGCTAAGTGGTAGAGTGCTTGCCTACCAAGTGCAAGGCCCTGGGTTCAGTCCTCAGCTCCAAGAAAAAAAGATAAAATGAGAATGATTTTCTAGAAAGACCGGTCCTTGGTTCTTCCTTGTGAAAATGCCTCTACTTCATAATAGTTCAATAAGACACAACCGTAGTTTAGTGAGAGACCACGTGAGGTCCCTGCTCTGAGGCATCAAGGTCTATGTAGCAAGGACTTGCTACAGGTACCATCTCATACAAAGGTTAACTTACTGTGGGTGATCATGATCTTCAATCACAACCAGAGAAACTCAGGTTCTAACAGATTTTGGAATATATGATAGGCAAGTCTTGACAAGTTCCAAGTGTTTCCTATCATTGGCATCAAGAGGCCTCAAAAACATTACTAAATCTGTCAAGGAACTTAACAGAAAGCCAGATGTGGTGGCACAAGCCTATAATCTAAGCAACTGGGAGACAGAGGACTGCCATAAGTCTGAGGCCAGCCTGGTCTATACAGTGAATTCCAAACCAACTGGGGCTACCTAGTGAGACCTTGTCTCAAAAAAATGCAAAGAAAGAAAAAGAAACTTAACACATAGGGATTTTACAGTAGTTGGTTCAACATTTTAGATATGAGCATGGGTATGTTGTTTTTTTCTTTCTTTCTTGAGAAAGGGTCTTGACTGGCCTAAATTAGTGATCCTACTGCCTCAGCCTCCTAAGTGCTGGGGGTTACAGATATGCTTGAACCATTGCCTTTGAAAATCATCAGTCTGGCACCAAACACAGCAATGCACACCTATAATCCCAGCATGAGGAAAGGCAGAAGGATCATGAGCTACACAGCAAGACACTGTCCTATTAAAGAAAGAAAAAAAGATAACAGATCTCACCCATAAGATTCTCATAGATTGGATCCATCTATTTCATCCTCTACTTTAACCTAACTTTAACCTCTACAACCAATGCAGTAGGGTTTGTATGTAAGTCAATGCCAGTGCTGACCAATAGCCAGGTTTTTCTACATGGATAAAAATCATCAAATCTCATTGGAAATCAAACTCTAATACTTTTTTGGCCTTGTATGTCATTCTTCTAGTCTAAGACTACAAGTCATAAACACATATCAAGCATTAATAGGTACAGTTACAGTACTGCAGCTGTCTGGTCTCAAATAGCTCAAGAAAGTTCATACTCAAATCTGGTACAATGATCCAAGAGTACTGGGAGCAGCTAAGTAACTTTAACTCAAGATTGAGATACAGGAAGCACCTTACACAGGTTCTCTTGAGGTTTTTAAATGACATACAGGCCCCAGAAGTCTCTCCCGTAAGTCTGAATCCTTGGCATCTACAGTAAACACAATCCCTACTAATCTAATACGTATCTGTTAACCAGACACATAGAATTTGGCAGGATGTCCTGTCAAATAGCCCAGTCCATTACATACAGCCTGGGAAGCAACGTTACAGGCCTATGATCAGTGCTCACATGGCACAGACCTTTGAACTCTGTATCTTCACATTTACTAGGACGGCAGTTGGGTTTCCTAGCTCCCAGTCTTCTGGATTCAATGTGCTGTGTTCAAAAGAGCCATGTAGTACAGAAAGCTTTCCTGATGTTAGCTTCATCAAGTGATATAAAAGAACCCCAGAGAAGAAGGAAGCCAGTAGGTCTGTGCCCATCAGTTTCCTGTCTCTGAGGCAGCAGTGAGCGCTCCTGCTCTACTTCAGTCACAGTTAATTTTTAGGAACCTTTAGAGGGAGGGGAAAAAGTTCCACATATAATTAAAAATAATGTTCCTTGATAAGAGTTGGGGCTAAACTCAAAACAAGCCCATCCTGGTGTAACCTCCTTCTGCTTGCTCTGGAAAGAACACTGACACACAGGAGGTGACCAAGATGAGAGGAGGGAAGAAACCAGCTGGAAGTGAAGGAATGACACAGACCTCCCACATACACACTTTAAAAACTTTATTTATATAAAAAACTCATTTTGTTTTTAAAAGCATTAACGAGAGAAAGAAAAAGAGAAAAGGAATGGAGCAGAAGACATGCCCCTTAGTAGTATTCGGTGGGAAAGTGGGATTTTTGGTTTTCTGGAATTGAATGTTTAGTGTTTTTATAAATGAAAGAGAAAAAAATGAGTTAAAGGTCCCCAAAGCCCATGGCTATTCTATTACCCACGCCCCACCGAGAAAAAAGAGCACCAGGAAGAGCAGAGGAAGACAAAAGAAGCCAAGAGTGGAGCCAGGTCCAGGTGGGGACGGTTCCCTGTGCAGTGTGCTCTGAGGGTCAGAGAGCAAAAGGCTCCTTTGCCAGAAAAGGTGGATGGGAGCAGGAAGAACTGGGAAGGGAAAAAGGTAAATAAGGAATTTTAATGCATAGGGAAGGGGTTGGCGGGTTGTGCACTTTTCTCCTACCCCACATAGCCTCAATATATTAGGGAAGGGAAAGAGAGGGATAAAGAATTCCAGTTGCATTGAACAGAGCTTTTTGATTAAGGGGAAAAGGCAAGTAAGTAAAAAAAGTGGAAAAAAAAAAAAAAAGCAACCCACATAGCAGCTGGTTTTGCTAGCCCAACCTGCGATATACACTAAAGTGGAGAGGGTATAATAAAGGTGACAGAGATGGAGAGAAACCCTCTACTCCCTATGTTCGGAGATGATGATAATCAGGGGCAACTAAGGAGGAAGAGTCACACCACTCATTCCTCTCAGCCTCACTTTGAGATTTATCACGATGAAGACTTTCATAAAACCACACACTGCTGAGCAGAAGCTTGCTGTGGCTAAAATCAGAGGCTACACCAATCCCCAATGGGGAGCTTGAAGTGCTCTAGGTCACTCTTCCTCTTCTTTCCTTCAGTTACTGAGGGCCAATATGGGGAAGAAATAACAAAATCTAACTTGCAAAATCATGAGGAATGAGACTGCAGAGGCAAAGAAAGGCACGTGGAAGGGAAGGAGGAGATGCACCCCAGGCCAAAGGCACAAAGAAGAGGCAAAGCCAGGGGCAGCCCCTACCTTACAAGGGTAAAGGGACAGGAGTTATGTACAAGTCTTGTAGTTGGCCAACAAATCCAGGGAGGAGGAGGGGGAGGACAGGCCTATAAGGGAATGAAAAAGAGAAATGGGGCAGGGGGAAGCTAGCTTTGAAGCTTCCTGCCAGTTTCAGACTAACCACTTCATGAACATTCCTTCTAGTTCCTCCTAGAGGTGCCTCTTCTTCCCAAGACAATCTTTCTGCTTCTTCTCAACCCAGAAGTATTCCATGGCATTCTCCTTTTTATATAGCCTCTTGCGAATGGCCAGGTCAAGTAGCAGATTTACCACAGGGTAGGAGAAGAGGGTTAAGGACAGTCTTTCTTGGTAAGGGGCAGTGGCAGCACCCCAAGGTTGGCCTGAAGCTGACAGAAGAGATGGAGTCTGTAGTCCTTTGTGGTCCCTGCCTCGGAGAGAAAGAGGTAAGGCTTCTCAATCCCAGTTCTAGGAGACCTTCACTTGCTTGGGGCCCTTGCCAGGTGGAATGTGCCAATGTTGCCAGCCTTCTTGGTTTCAAAAATAGCCATTAGAATAAGGGAAGGGAAGAACTCACACTTCCCATTCTCCAAAAGAAAATAAAAAAATTCCTTCCCCACCAGGAAAACAGTCTTGATTAAGAATCATCAGTTTGTCAGATTGCTGAACATTGCATATACAGCATGTAACTTTCCGTTCTTCCCACGACTTCCAGTGACGATTTCCATTCTCTCCCTCCCTCCACACAAGGCCAAAAGTTCCAGGGAGAGCTGGCAAAAAGAGCTAGTCTGCAGCAGTTTCTCAAGATAATGCAAATAACTAAATCAGATTTCTTAAGGAAAACTGGAGGTGGGGAATGATGACACAGGACAATTAAACTTCAGTGGAAGAAATTGGGACTTGATAGAATGAAGGCAGCCACTTTGGGGTATAAGGGTCGGAGGCAGCCTGGCAGTTGGCACAATAGTCCAGCAAA